AGAAGGGGAAGTGCTCTGCCACGCCCTGGGCCTCTCAGCCACCGACCCCATCTCTCCTTGCCACTCTCAAGCCTTCTGCCGGATGCTCTCTCCCTGTTTATCCATACCTTTACAATAATGATCGGATCCCACTGTTTTCTCCATTCCTCCTCTGTCTCCACCTTAAACCGGGAGAACCTCGAAAGCAGGGGAGGTGACATTCTTCTGCTGCCAACACATATCTCGTGAATATTGTGCCCACCACCGGTCTGGGCACCAGAGACACAGCACACAGCAAGGAAAGCAGAGCCTGACTCCGCAGGTTCGAGGTCAACATAAAAACACCGAAGACAGAAAATCTTACATGTCTTACACTGCAGCTATATCCCAAGTCATTGCTATATGGATGATTTTTTTTTTTTTTTTTTTTGGTACTGGGGATCGAACTCGGGTCCTTGCGCTTGCGCAGCAGGCGGCGAAACCACTGAGCCAAATCCCTGGCCCCACGGATGATTTTTTAAATCAATAATTATTGAAAGTCGCTGTCCCCACCTGGCGGGACGCACACACCTGTAACCACAGCACTCTCGGAAGGCTGAGCCAGGAGGATCATAGATTCCCACTCAGCCTGGCAAAGTCGCTGTCCAAATAACAGGAGGCCGTGTTCCTAGATCATGCAAAATGTGTGCTGTGAAGTAACCCCAATCTCAATGAAGTTACCACCTGAAAATTGCCTACGCTCCATAAAAGTGCAGACTATTATTTCCAACTTAGCCCAGTGGTCCTGGAGTTCACTGTGTCTGAGACGTGGATGTGAAGGTGGAGGTCAGGAGGACATCCCGCTCTGGCAGCTGTTCCGACACACGGGGACAATGACCCAAGGCTACGATCCCCAGGATGTTCCTGTAGACCCAGGTGGGTAAGTCAGAGTCTGTCTTCAACACGTCAGGCTCCGTAGATCTTCACAGAGCCCATCTGCATCCCTGAGAAGCGCTTCAGGAGGTCTACCATCACCTCCCAGAACTCGACCACCGAATTCTTCTCCTAAGGGATAGCTCTTACATTAGTTTCAAAAAATCCACTTTAAAATCAGCCAATAACAAATGCTGGTGGGGCTATGGGGGAAAAGGAACCCTTTTCCACTGCTAGTGGGAGTGCAGACTGGTGCAACCACTGTGGAAATCAGTGTGGAGATACCAAAAAGAACTAAAACCATTCGCCCCACCTATTCATCTTGCTATCTCCCCTAAAGAATTAAAAACATCCTACCACAGCGATATGTGCACATCCATGTTTATAGTGGCACAGTTTGTAATAGCTAAAATCATAGAAACAACCCAAATGCCCATCAACTGATGAGTGGATAAAGAAGATGTGGGTTGTTTTTTTTTTTGGTACTGGGGATCGAACTCAGGACCTTGCGCTTGCAAGGCAGGAGGTGGAACCACTGAGCTAAATCCCCGATCCTGGGGTTTTTTTTTATACAATGGAATATTGCTCTGCCATAAAGAAAGATAAATTGGAGACATTTATAACTAAATGGATGCACCTGGAGACCGTACTCTTAAGCAAAAAAATCAGACACACATGATTAAATACCGCATTGTTTCTCTGGTGTGAGAAACTGAATGTGGAGATAAGGACTGAGATGTATGGTGGACGTTGGGAAATGGGAAGAAAGTGTTCAAATGGGAAGGGGAACAGGGAGGAGGGAGGGAGAAAGGAAGGGAGGGACAAGAGAAGTGAAAATAGAAGGAAAAAATGGAAACAAAGCTTCTGTACATAGGGAGGGGAGGGACAACGGGAGAAGGGAATGGGGAAAAAAGAAGAGGGATGTATCATGTACAGGTCCAAATTCCCTACCATGAGTGTTATCATTATGTACACCTAAAATGTACCAATAAATATTGCTATTTTAAAAATAAATAAAATAGGGCCGGGGATTTAGCTCAGTGATTTCGACGCCTGCTGCACAAGCGCAAGGACCCAAGTTCGATCCCCAGTACCAAAAATAAATAAATAAATAAAATAAAACTTACTGGTATGCAAAAGAAAAAAGGGGGAAAAAATTCTGCTTTAAAGGTCAGTTCACAGGCCTGTTCGCTGCTACTAGGGGGGAATCCGGCAGACGAAGGCTGCAGCCCATTCAGAACTTTGCGGCCAGAAGCTTCGATTCCGCATTTCGCTCTGCAGTCGGGACGCGCTCCGGGCGGCGACTCCACTCTGCCCCCTGGTAGCCGGGCTGGGCATCGCGGCCTCCGTGACTCTGGCAGACTGCTCTTTGGTTGCGTTAAACTTGTCAGTGTTGAGTCCAGGCTCGAGACTCCAAAACTGAGCCCCCCACTGACTCTACAGTGAACTCGGAAGTGCTCTGTCCTGTAACTGTGCTGTGTGTCCTGATGAGTTACAATGTAGCAAGGATTCTGCAGCGGCTTGGAGGTGCTCACCTGTGACTCCAGCATTTGGGAGGCTGAGGCAGGAGGAGCACCTTAAGTTCCAGGCCAGCCTGGGCTACTTAGCGAGACCCTGTCTCAAAAAACAAAACAAAACACAAACAAACAAAAGAAGAAATTTACAACTAATACTAGTTGAAGTCTGTTTATAAATTATCAAAAATAATGCTGCTCTCTGACAGGCAGTACACAGTATTTTATTCAGTGAAAGACAACTGGCACAATCTGAGGAGCTTAAAATCCTAATTCAGGCCCAGAGCGCCTTAAATGGCAGTTTTGTTCAATAATGCAGCATTTCATTCAGTAACATCAGTCTCTTGGCCGTGAACATTGATGAATTCTACAAATAAACACAACTCAGCTTTCTAGACCTGCTCTTCTGCTCTGCCCACCCAGCCAATGGTGCAGGTTGTCAAGACCAAGACATGGCCTGCTTCCTGCCCACCCTGCCGTGGACTGTTCCTCCTGTGCCAGTCTGCCTGCAGTAGAGCCAGAGACTACGGACCAAAACCTCTCCCGACTCAGTTCTGAAACCCAGGGCACTCTAATGTTACCAGATCCCAGGTCTTATCCAGATGTCCTAAACATCACACAGAGTAGCAACAAGATCAAAGATTTATTTGAAAGAAAAAAGTACACTCCACCATGTGGGAACAGTGCTTACCTCAGTAAGCACCTACTTAAGGATTAATCCATGTTTGATAAAGGAAGAGTAGAGAGAAGATGAACAAACAAGTGATTGTTAACTGTTTTATCAATTCTTTTTTTTTTCATTACCGGGGATCGAACTCAGGCCCTTGAGCTTGCCCAGCAGGCAGTGAAACCACTGAGCTAAATCCCCACCCCTGTTGTTAACTGTTTTACTGACTAACTGAACTACATAGTAAGACTCTGTCTCAAAAAATAAATAAAGTAAATGAAGAGGACCAAAAACTGAGCTAGGGCACCCCAACATCAGGAGGTTTGGAGGAATGTGGAGAAACTGGAGTCTGAAAGGGAAACAGCAGAAACCAAGACAACATGATGTGTTGGAAGCCACATGAATAAAGCATTTGCAAGAGAAAAATTAAATTCCTGCAGACAGTCAAGCAGCACTTACTGTCATGCCAAGGGTTTGATCCCCAGCACTGAAAAAAAAAGTTCAGTATTAGATGTAGTAATGTGGATGTCACTGGTGGTTTGAAAAACCAGTTCCAATAGGGCACCAGCAGGCAAAGCCTGGTAAAAATGAGTTTGTGAGAGAATGAAACCCGGGTGTAAAGTGCACACCTCTAATCCCTGGGAGGCTGAGATAGGAGGATCACAACTTTGAGCCCCGCCTGGGCAATTTAGCGAGACCCTCTTCAAAAAAAATTTTTTTAATGGAGTAGGGTGTGTGGCTCAGAGGTGCAATGCTGGTGTAGAGGGAGAGGGAGGGGATATTAGAACACTCTTGGGTTTTGCAATAGCACAGATATGGGGAGAAAAACTGCAGGGCAGTAAGTAGATGGGAGGGCTTGTTTTCGTCAGAGAGCAGAAAGAGAGCTCACTTAGAGGAATAACTCCGTAACAAGGGGAAAATGGGAGCTGTAGGCAAGAGAGAATTGATGGGCCGAGCAGGTGATCTAAGGAATGGGCAGAGAAAGAGCAGCTCTCCATAAGCTCAGACACTGAGATTTCCAACAGCAGGGAGGAAAAGTGGCTCCTGAGGCTGTTTTCCTCTGGACCAGGGAACAAGTGGGAGACAGCTCCTGCCCGTGAGAGATCACCATGAGGAAAGGCGGTCATCTCCTCGCGTGCAAGGCCGGCAGGGTAGAGCCCGGAGTTGCAAAAAAAGGATGGATTTACAATCACATGCCTCTCATCCCAGAGCTCTGAAAGGCTGAGGCATGAGGAGGGAGCCCAGCCTGGACCACTCAGCAAACAGTGAGACCCTGTCTCAAAATAAAAAATAAAAAGGAGGCCGGGGATTTAGCTCAGTGGTTTTGCCGCCTGCTGCGCAAGCGCAAGGACCCAAGTTCGATCCCCGGTACCGAAAAAAAAGAAAAAGGGCTGGGAATGTTTCTCAGTGCAAAGGGCCTGGGTTCAATCCCCAGTACCACAAAAATAAATTTAAAAAAATATAAAAGTCCACACAGTGCCCTCACTGCATTTTACAGCCCCAAATAGGACTGCAGGGCGGGGTATGAAAGGCAGATTCCTTTCCTGCCTGCAAGGGAGTAGCATGCAGGGAGGCTCGCAGGTTACGACATCGATATTTAATTTGTTCAAGGTTCTGAGTTTGATTCCCGGTACCAAAAAAAATTGAGGATGTTTAATGGAACGCGGTCCGTTTAAATCTACTCAAGGCGCGCGGGACAAAAGGCCCCGATCTTCTCCCCTCCCTCTTCCCATGTGTGGCTGCAGAGAAGAAAGAGGGATTGGTGAAGCCTTCCAGATGGACATCTGGACGGGAGGAGAGGTGACCGCGAGTTCGGACCCCTCGGAAGCCACGAGCCAAGATCGAGACAACTCAGCTTCTGCCAGCCCGCGCCAGCCTTTAAGGTTGGCTCCTCCCCGCCCCGGAAGTGACGGTATTACGCGGCCCGCCCGTTTCCCGTCAGGCCTCGCGGCGGCGGCGGGAAAATGGCGGCAGCGGGAGCCCTGGAACGGAGCTTCTTGGAGCTCAGCGGTGCTGAGCGCGAAAGGCTGAGGCGGTTTCGGGAATTCACAGTCTGCGTCCTCGGTAAGGTAGTGGCCGGCGACAGGACGCTATCTAGGCCTTCCCCTTGGCTTCCTCCCATGGATCTCAGGGTCTCTGACCAGCCGATTCATTCTCCTGAGTCCACATGCCGAGTTAGCCTCGTGTCTGGACGTCTTTCCTCTCCCCTGGCGACTTGATTTCTCTCTCCTTTCCCCCTTGCGTTTGGGTTGTCAGGACGTCGCAGTTCGCTTCCCCAGCGCCCTCTGTCCCTGACATCCCAGCGGAGCCCGGGTGCAGGCTGACCACATTCGTTTTGCAGGGTCCGCGGGTGTCGCGCCTGGAGCGGTGAAATACAGCGAGAGCGCAGGGGGCTTCTACTACGTGGAGAGTGGCAAACTGTTCGCCGTCACGAGAAACAGGTTCATTCACTGGTAAGTGCCATGGTGGCCACACCCCTTGCATGGTAGGATTGTTCTGCCCAGGAATATCTGTGGTCGCCCCCAAAGCCTCATTACTAGAAGCAGTCGTGGACACCTAGGAAACGAGAAACAGATTTAGCTTAGTTCATGTCAGAATCAGGGAAATATGAGACACAGAATTCTTTCCAAGAAGGGAGTCTTGTCCCCCCACCCTAGTCAAAGCAGAGAAAATGTAGTTTAGAGGATACACCCTGAAGACCAGTTTTTTTGTTTATTTGTTTTTTTCGTACCGGGGATTGAACTCGGGACTTTGTGCTTTCCAGGCAGGCGGCAGAACCACTGAGCTAAATCCCTGGCCAATGAAGACCAGTTTTTCACAGGAAACTATTATGTTTTTATGCTTCATTCTCCAAATGTGTTTAAGGTTCTGTATGTCAAACATTGCTCTAAGTACTGGGATGAAATGGTGAATAAAACCAGCCATTATTTATGTTGGGGGGGTTGTGCTGGGGATCGAACTCAGGACCTTGCGCTTTTGAGTCAGGCACAGCGCCACTGAGCCAAATCCCCAGCCCCATCAGCCATTATTTTCTAAGTATGAAATGTTGCAGCTTTATAAGAATTGATGTAGACTCACCGTTTGTATGGCAGTTTCACAGAGGAAAAGACATTAGTGATCAGCATGTAGGTATATAAACACAGATGTTTCTGCTTGACCCAGAGGAAAAGTGAGACCCTGTCTCAGCCCTCTCCCCCCCAAAAAAAGAAGAAAAAGTAAATATAGCTGTCAGTAAATGAGAAACGAAATAGGGAACAGAAGCAAGGAAGATAACACCCTGGGCGTCAGAGTTTTCTGTGAGATGGTCAGACAGGACTTGGGGAGACGCTGGTGTCTGAGCAGAGAGAATAAGGCTATCCAGGGGTGCACACTTCAGGTCGAGCCTTCCAAGGAAGGAACAGAGTTTGGAGGTCCCTGAGACAGAAGTTTGTAAATGCTGAAAGGATAATGGGCCAAGAATCTCATCTGAATAAACAAAGGGTAAATAGTAAGATAGCACAGGAGCAAAATTTGTCATTTATTTTAAGACTTTTTCCTCAAGTTGGGAGGAAGCCATTGGAGTGTTTTACGTGCAAGAATGTCTCCATGTGTCTTTAAAGGCTTGCTGTAGCTGCTGGGTGGAGAGGGAGAAAGGGTGGGAGCAGAGGGAGATAGACACTGCACTCAGGCCAGGCAGTGGAGACCAGGCAGGGAGCAGCATTCTGCTCGAGGCTGTGTCGTCAGGGTGGACCTGTTGGCATTCGTGTGGCATCAGATACCGAGTAGATGTCTCTAATTGAGTTGGAAATGAGTGTAGGTAACGTGAAACAGGGTTTTGTTTGGGTTTTTGGTGGGTTTTTTTCCCCTCCAGTTTGGTGGGGAATTCTGTGGAGAGGCTGGGTGAAGGATGTGGATTTGGTGTGGTTGCCCTTAGACACCATTTACTTATGGCACTGACACTTTGGGTGGGTGCTGTCCTCCCTGCTGGAGGGTGTTGAACAGCATCCCTGGCTCCTGTGTACTACACACTGGTGGCATCTCCTGCCCCCGCCCCGTTCCCCAGTTACACTGACCAGTGTCCCCGGGGACTGGCAGCCTCCCCTCCAGTTGGGTAGAAAAGGCCTGAGGACCGATCCCTATGGTACCCAACATTTAGGCAGCACAGGAAGCAGTGGAGGTGCGCAGGAAGGAGCAGCTGCTAAGGGGAGAGTTAAACAAAGAGCAATGGCCCAGAAGCTAAGGAAAGAACTTCAGGAAGGAGTATGAGGGCCAGGGATTTAGCTCAGTGGTTCTGCCGCCTGCCTCGAGGTTTCATCTGCCTGTGCAAGGACCCAAGTTCAATCCCCGGTGTACCAAAAACAAAACAAAACAAAAAGCATGAAAACTGTCAAGCAAGATGATAAACAGAAATCGGCTTTTGTGCTGGAAGTTGTCGGTTGCAGGTCAACAGCCAGGGTAGAGAGCCTGGAAGAGCTCGGAGGAGGAGCAGTGCTCTAAGGGAAGTGGCAAGATCAGATCCAGAGGCTGGAGGAAGTGCTCAGGGTGTTTCTAGGTAGCTGGGGGAGACCATGCAAATGCAGAGCGGATGTGTGTGATCACACGAAGAGAAAAATGAAAGAGGAGAGGAGTATGGCTATTGAAGCCTTTGAGAACCTCGGCAGTAGGCAGGTGTGGCGCACACCTGTGACCCCGGGGCTCTCAGAGCAAAAGAGAGGAGGGCGGCCACATTTGAACATAACCTGAGCAGTTTAGCGAGATGATGTCTCATAAACAGGATGGAGGATGGAGGATGTGGCTTAGTGAGAAGGCCCTGGGTTCAGTCCCCAGCACTACAGGGAAAAACAGTGTTTATAAAGGGACGGAGATACAGCTCAGTAGTGGGCCACCCCAGATTTAATCTCAGTAACATGCTGGCACACACGTGCATGCATGTTGCACACACACAAAGGCTGTAAAGTTTGGAAATGCCTCACTGAACACCATCATAATGAGATTTGAATTTTGTTAGGCTCCGGTTTTTTCCCCCGGTACTGGAAATCGAATCGAACTCATGACTTTGCTCTTGCCAGGCAGGCACAGCGCCACCAAGCTACATCCCCAGCCCTAGGCTGTTTTATAAATCTGTTTAATATGGTGATTTGGGATGTAAAAGTGGTCCATTTGTTTATCCATAATTGTCTGTTTTCCTGTCCAATTCTCCTATATTTCAGTGTGGTAGTCACTAAAAAAAAAAAAGTATAAGCTCTTTAAGCCAGTGTTTTTTCTTTCTTTTTCACAGGAAGACCTCTGGGGATACTGTGGAACTGGTGGAGGAATCACTGGACATAAATCTGCTGAATAATGCAGTTCGCGTCAAATTCCAGAACTGCAGCATCTTACCTGGGGGGGTTTATGTCACCGAGACCCAGGCTCACGTGATTGTCCTGCTGCTGACCAATCAGTCAGTGCACAGGCTGCTCCTGCCACACCCTTCCCGGATGTACAGAAGTGTACGTTGTTCAGGTGGACTCGGGTCTTTCTCACCTCAGTGGAGTGTCACACACTCACTGCTGGGACAGGATTCTTTGGAACTAACGAAAATTTAGATTCCTTGTTAGTTCTCAGCAAGTGTACTGTGATAGTTATCATTTTAAATGATCAGGCATACATTTTAAGTTGATGAAATTGCTTTCTTTAAAAGAATAGCTTTCTTCTTAGACCCAGCTACTCTTTATAACCTTTTTTAGCATTGGAGGGGAACTAAGCAAAATTCAAGTTGTTTTGGTTTTTGATTTGTTTTTTTTGTTTGTTTGTTTTTTGTACCGGGGATGGAACTCTGGATCATTGCGCTTGTGAGGCAGGCGGCAGAACCACTGAGCTAAATCCCCAGCAGATTCTTTTGGTATTAAGGGCTCTCTCTTTTTCCCAACTCCCCAGGAGTTAGTAACAGAAAGCCAGATGCAGTCCATCTTCACCGACATTGGGAAGGTGGACTTCAGGGACCCCTGCAGCTACCAGCTGATTCCCACAGTGCCTGGCCTGTCCCCTCATGCTGCCGCATCGGCCGCCTGGCTCAGCAGTGATGGGGAGGCTCTGTTCGCTCTCCCATCTGCTGCTGGTGGTGTGTTCATCCTTAAACTACCTCCTTATGACAGACCTGGTAAGTGGCTTTCTCCTGACTCAGGAAATGCGGCATTAAGCCAGCCTCAGGTCAGCCCGAAGGAGCCCGATGCTGGTGTCCAGGCATTGGGCTTCAGATGAGGTGGGTAGCTGTAACTCGTCCTCCCATGTGGTGTGGGCACGCACGGCGGCTTCATCTGAGCCTGGTAGTAGGGATGGTTCCACCGTGTCCTCTTTCAGGCTGAGGTGTTGTAATTAAGATTGCCTCGAGGGAAACAAGCCTGGCTCCTGACCCTGCCCCGTGCCCACCCTCTCCCACCTGGCCCCTCAGAGCTGTTCCTGAGGCTGCTGCACTTGGAACACACACTGGGTTTGGCTGCTGCCCTGTTCAGTGCCTTCCCATGAGGTTGTCCTTCCCCTTGTCGATAACACCCAAGTCCTCTATCAGCCTGTGGTGCTTGTGCTCCCTGTGTCACATGGTCACTGTCCCTCTCCCACTCTGCTCCCCGCACATGTCCCACAGCTGCTTGCCCACTCTGGGTGCCCTCCTGCCTCAGCCACTTGCGTGGGACACGTGGCCCTCAGTGTGGCTCCTCTGTCCACCGCTCAGATCTGTGCTCCCTGCCACTTAGCAGGCCTCCCCAGCCCCTCTCACTGTTCAGTCCCTGCCCGTCCGTGTTGGCCTTGTCTCCGTTTATCTCCACCTCCTCCGTGGTGGACTTCAGCTCCATGAGGACAGGCCCCCTGCCACCTGGCTGAGGTTGATTAGAAAGAGGGCAGTGTGGCCTCCTGGGAGTGTGAAATGCCACTGCCACTGATGGGTACGGATTCAGGTGCTCCAGATGTGGCCCCTTCAAGGACAGAGACATGGGAGCTGCTGCCTGCTGTGACCTCCTTGTGGGCAGCCTCCCACTTTGGTTCTCTGAGTGCTCAGCCTCGGCCTGGGTCTCATTGCAGGGACAGTAGCAGTCGTGGAGCTGAAGCAGAGCTCGGTGATGCAGCGACTGCTCACAGGCTGGATGCCCACAGCCATCAGGTGAGTGGTGCTGGGCAGTTGAGGCCACGCCCATAGCCGTCACCACACTGGGCGGCGCTGGGAGCTTCGGGCTGTGGGCTCCAGTGAGCAGCGCACGGGAAGGAGAGGGCTGTACGTGGTGGCACGTCCTCCTGAAGACAGCAGAGATGTAGTTGCCTGGTGCCAGCATGTGCACTTACAGTCTCCTCCTTTGCTCCTTCTGCTAAGAGTGTGTTTATAATTTCATTTTCTTTTTTTGGTACTAGGGATTGAACACAGGGCCTCACACACACACACACACACGAGGCAGTGTTCTATCACTGAGCCACACCTCCAGCCCTTTTTATTTTGAGAGGATCTCACTAAGTTGTCCAGGCTGGCCTCAGATTGGAGGTCCTACTGCCTCAGCCTCTTGAGTAGATGGGATTACAAGTGTGAGCCCGACTTTATTGTTTCTTGGATTGGAAACTAGTGATCAGATGTTGCAGCAGTGAGCCTCTCCACCCCGGTCTTCTGTCCTTAGGGGCGAGCAGGGGCCCTCGGACCGCGCCCTCAGCCTTGCTGTCCACTGTGCCGAGCACGATGCCTTCCTGTTTGCCCTGTGTCAGGACCACAAACTGCGGATGTGGTCGTGCAAGGTGGGTGCCGCATCTGGCTGCTTCGAGAGGAACGGGCTGCCGAGAGGAGGGAAGGGGATCTTGCTGCTTAGGGATAACCAGATCCCTCAGCTCAGAAGTGAGGGGCCAAAGGGCCGGGGATTTAGCTCAGTGGTTCTGCCACCTGCTGCACAAGCCCAAGGACCCAAGTTCGATCCCCGGTACCAAAAAAAAAAAAGAAGTGAGGGGCCATTTCTAGGTTCAGTCTCATGTAGATTCATTTTGTGTTAACCTCCCACCTTTCTGGGTTTTTATGTTGAAAATTGTGAACCCAAAGGGCTGGGGATTTGGCTCAGTGGCCATGCGCCTGTCTTTGTAAGGTCCTAAGTTTGACCTCCGGTACCAAAAGAAAATTGTGAGCCCTACAAGAAGGTTAAAAGAGCAATACAAAGTATACTTTTTGTTTAAGAGCAACAAATATTTGTTTTTTTAATCGCTCTCTTTTTTGTTTGTTTTGGTACCGGGGATCAAACTCATCAAACTCGGGTCCTTGCACTTGTGAGGCAGGTGGCGGAACCACTGAGCTAAATCCCCAGCCTGCGCTCTCTCTCTCTCCCTCTCTCCCTCTCTCCCTCTCTCCCTCCCTCCCTCTCTCCCTC